TTCGTGTGTTTGTGCACATGTGTGTGATGGGGAAGGAGTCCCCTGAACATTTTCATAGACACCATCCTGAACCAGAACGGTGATTTCTGCCTTATCTCCTCACCTCTCTCACCCTGTATAGAGTGCTGGCTGGTCGATCATGTGGAAACAGTGAAGTCACTCTGAAGTTTTTTGTAGCTTAGGTAGACAAGCTCAGACTTTGGCTGGGTATTTGAAATCCTCCAGGAAGACCTGGGTTCAAGTCCTGGCTTTTTATTTTGAGGTTTTAGGTAACTTATACATCCTTTTTTTTTTCTTTATTGTTGTTTCTTATTTCTTCTTTTTATTATTCTTTGGGGTGGGTTACCCTTTTAGCTATACTTTTCTAGCTCTCTGAAGTGGAAATAATAGTATTTAACTGATGAAGGCTGTAGTGTAGGTTAGAGAGGATTAATGTAAAACACCCAGTACTTGCTTCTCACATGCTAGGTGGCTCTTCTGAAGCTCCTCCCAGGTTGGTGCCTGAATCAGTTGGTTTGCGCACATCAGTAAACACATCTCTCAGCCCTGCTTTGGACACTGATCCCACCCTTTTACCTTGTTTAGCTTGCCAGCAGCCCTCTCTCTGTGTAGGAACTCCTCCCTGTCCAATAGACTCTTCTTCCTTTTGCCATAAAGCTTTCCCTTACAAACTGATTTAATAATGATTTATACATTCCTTATGAACTAGTTAACTTAGTTGGCAATTAATCATGTATTCCTTCTGAACTCTATTGTGTGATTTTATTACCATAATTGTACTATCATTAGTTAGCTTTATGTGATTTATGTCTCCTATCCCCAGCTAACTTCATAGTTCCCTGAGGGTAGTGATCACATCTTAAACATCTTTGAATCCTCCACAGCACGTAGGAACATTGTTACTGGGTGACTGGATCCTGAGACACCACTTGTCCTAAGACAGGAGTGTCCACTGGAGAATGTTTAAAGGATGAAAATAGATTCGAGTTAGATTTTGTTGGGAGGCAACATTTCTGGAGGTTGATAAGAGGAGTGGGCACACGGCTGTGTAGGAATGAGTGTGAGATGACAAGGACCATGCAGCCACCACAGAACTGCTGCAGGACAGTGCTGGGCTCAGCTTCTGCAATATAGACTCAGACTTAAGCCCTCTATTACTTATTTCCCATCCCTTTTCCTTCTTTGCCCAATTTTCATCCACCTGCTGACTCTTACTATGAACTGATGAACTGCGGCTCTGTAGGCAGATCATTCTCCAACCTGAAGAAAACCTCGGCTTTTCTCTCAGTGAAAAGGCCTTGAAGGAAATATTCTCTGGACATAAAATGGCCAGTTATTTTCTCTCATTGCTTTAAAGACTCCTTTCCATTGCTTTATATCTTTCATTGTTTCTGTTATGTAGTCACTGAAAGGCTCATGAATTTGGGGTGTTTTGAGTTTGTTTTGTCTTTGTGTTTTGAAGGTAATGATTTCCAGGATCCCCTTTTCCTGGCTGGGTTCTGATCTGTAATTTTTGTCCCCTTGTCACCTGCATATGTTAAAAGCTATGCTCAGCTTCAGGAGTCAGCAGATGCCTCGGGCCTAAAGAGCCTCCCCAGACATCAGGCTTACCTTTCTGCATTTCTTTTACTCCTAGGTCTTACCCTTCTAATTTCTGTACTACCTTGTTAGCTTTCTGATGCTTTTAAGCAGATTTTAACAAATATATTTAGTTCATGCATCTCAGTTATTCAACGTGGGAGTCAGGGCTGCATCACTTACCTTGCCATTACTAGAAGCAGTGCCCACATCCCCACCAAGGATTCTATCACCTGAAATCCAGCAGGGATGTTCATACATCTCTAGGACAGAGAAATAACATGATTAAAGTGGTACTTCAGGAAGATGAATGTGTCAGAGGTATGCGGGACAGAGAGGGGTTGGGAGAAACTCAGTAGAACAATGAAGAGGCCGTTCGAACAGAGGGCCTCCTAAAGTAAGATTGTATTAGTCAGGGTTCTCTAGAGGAACGAATTCCATAGGAAGTACAATTATAAAAAGGGGACTTATTAGGTTGATTTACACGACCCGAAGCTGGATAGTCCACAATGGCGGTCTGCAGGCTGGAGAGCTGCAAGAACCAGTCGCTGCACAGTCCAAGAGGCTGAAGCCCCAGAACAAGAGGGATAAACGGTGCCAAGTAGTTGGAGACCAAAGGCTTCTAGATAATCAATCACTGGCAGAGTCCACTTTGGAAGAGTGGAGAAGCCAGAGTCTGGTATTCTCAGAGGACCGCAGCAACAATCAAGAATCCATTCAAGAAGAATTGAGCTTGCATTTGCTGCTGTTTCCTTGTTCTAAGAAATTTTATTCCATCCAAGCCATCCTATTGGACGGTATTTCCCAACTGTCTCCATTTCAGTTGGCTATCCCACATGCCAATCATTCCTAGGCACACCCTAATTGACACACCCATAACCCTCTTAATCTCCTGTATCCTTTTAATCCAATCAGATTGACAATTCAAATTGACCATTATGAAGATGAAAGCAAAATAGAGGATGAGTCTGGGTTTTTTACATTGGATGGGCCAAAATGAGTCTTGGCTCCCAGACTTACTAGCAGATTACTTTTCAGCACTTCCCCAAGCTATCCCCCTTGTCTGTCCTAAGGATAATCAAGTCCCTATCTCCTGGTATTGAAAAAGTTAACAGAGCTCATATAAAACCTTAGTTTTAGTACCTGGCACATAGATAATGATCAATAAATAGTAGCCATTGTATTACTATTCCATGATCCAAGTCTCAGGTACATAGATGAAAATTCAAAATAGCTGTTAATGTCAGTGATCAGGACCGTGACATTGTCAACCTCATGGAAGACCATTCATGCTATATGAATCATAGTGAGTATCTTGCATGCCTTTATGCAGCAGCCCTAGCATCAGTGACATTCATCATAAGTAGGTTTTGCTTCCTGAAGTTCATTTAACCCTGGGTCAACTGTGGTCTGAAAATATTAAAAGGAAAATTCCAGAAGTAAGCCATTCATAAGTTTTAAATTGCACATTCTTTGGAATAGGATGATAAAATCTCTTACCTTGATGCTCCATCCTGCATGGGATGTAGACCATTTCTTTGTCCTGTGTATCCCAGTGGTATATCCACTCATTAGTCACTTAATCTCAGATGTCAGATTAGTTGTCATAGTATTGTAGTGCTTATGTTCAAGTGACCCTTATTTTACTTAAAATAGCCCCAAAGGTAAGAATAGTGATGCTGGCTATTTGGATGCTCAGGAGAAGCCACCAGTTTCTTTAATTGAAAAGATGAAAGCTCATCATAGACATGTATAAAACGAAAAACCACAACATACACAGGATTTGATATTATTAGTGGTTTCAAGCATCTGGTGGGAGTATTGGAATGTAAATGCCATGGAAAAGCAGAGCTCTCAGGTACCCACAATGAGCTGAACTGATTTACAGATGGGTGTCATGGTTTTGAAGTTGAGCCCGACCCTAGATCTCAAAGGTACAATGATAGCTGATTGCACAAAATGCCTTTTGTCAGGCCCAGTGGTAGATATTTTAACTTTTTTTATTTCCTTTGAAGCAGAGGTTACTCACATTTTAGGTTCACACAATATAAAATCAGCATTTGACTCTTAACCCAGTGTATAAGAATAGAAGTTCAACACAACAACAACAAAGAATCAGATTATGAGGCTTCATATTACAAAAGCATTCATATAATCATAGATAACCTTGGAATTCATCTCTCTGAAGTATGTCTCTCTTCTAGACGATCAAAGAGTGGACCAGAAAGATGGAGTGACAAGCCCAAGGACACACACCAGCCACAGTAGTCAGGACTAGAACACAAAGTCCTGCTATCTGTGTACTTTGATTCTCTTAGGCAAAAAGTAGCTCCTCGGTGTCTTCTCCACTTAGCTCCTGTCTTCCCCAACTCAATTCAGGTTTCACGAGGCCTGGGTATTTCTGTAAGAGAAGACTTACAGAAATAAGAACAGTGGTGTGTCACCCTGCATTTCAGTAATAAAAACTAAAAAATATATGCCAAGTAGGCATCTTTGCTTTTTAGTACTCAGCCCAGCCTTTTAATCTCTAGAAACAGATTTTGCTTTTAGTGACCACTAAACAATCAAGTTGTGGTAGTAGGCTTAAGGTAGAATTCCCCTTCTACTTTCCTTCTTAGAAAGCCACAAAGTTATATGCTCATCCTCTGATAAATATCCAATGGAAAACTTTCTGTTCTGTTTAATGCAGCAAGACCACTAGTAATTTATTACATGTCCAGTGTGTGGGAAATGGGACTGGGTATACAATTAAGTGAAAAAGAGGATATGTCTTCATGTCAATGGGTTAGCTTTTCATTGTGCATCTCTGGGGATGTCCTAGCTATTTAAAAAAAAAATGAAATAAGTGAAGTTCTTTCTAAGGATTTCCCCTACTTTGATTAAATACTCGCTCTGTTTACTTTTCTTAAAAAAAGTCCACTTAAAATTAATAGCAGTCATGATTTAAGAGTTTTAAAATTTGGGTCAACCAGCAATCCCTCTTGCTAGGCATTGGTCTTGAGCACTCTTTTTGGGATGGGATTGTCCAATTTTTTTCCTGGGGACTCAGGACATTGTTTATATTCAGGGGTCACAGTAAAGTGTGCACACTGTGACTTCTTATAAGGTTGACCCTCTGGTAGGGCTGGAGGTGGAGGGGACTTTATTTGGCTCTTTGTGTGTTAACAGCCATGACGATGATGATTAACAAAAATGTGATCTTCATATACATTGTGCAATTGGAGAATTTTAACATTTTTCATAGGTGATTTCACAATCACCTATGTTGAAACTGCTGAACAGTTTCATCAGTGTTTCTGTTGTAGCTGTTAGCACATAGGGCATATCTGTCAGGATGTAAGGTTAAATGACTCTTCAAGAAAAAGAGAAGAATAAACCCCAGATACTTTCTCCTTCAAGTCTAGTGTATACTTCAATACACATTTTGGGTAAAATGTGGAACGATACACATAAAAATAAATTTTATTAAAACTATTAATTTCTGGACATGTTTGATTTCCATATGTCTTAGTCCATTTTCTGTGGCTATAACAAAATACTGAGGTTGGGACTTGGTGAAGAAAAGGGGTTTATTTAGCTCACAGTTCTGAAGGTTCAGGGGTATAGCTCCAGCATCTGGTTGACTCTGTTGATGACACCAGGTCTGATGACAGCACAACGGCAGGAGTGTGTTTAGAAGAGGAATTCAGGGGAGCTGCCAGGCTCACTTTAACAACCTGTTCCAACAGGAACTAATCTAATCCTATAGGACCCGACCCACTCCCAGAGCATTAATCCATTCATGAGGGTGGAGTCACCTGGCCTAATTCCCTTTCTTAAAGGGTATGCCACCTCAATACCACCACACTGAGGACCAAGCTTCCAGCATATGAGCCTCTGGGGAACAAACCACAGCTTTGTAGTATTTTGGCTAAGGAAGACATTTATTTTGAGTTTTGGCTGGCTGTTAGAAAGGCATGCCATATAAATATTGATGGCCCAACATATATATGGTGCAGTAAAATATGACAGACCAATGGAGAAGATCTGTCAGCCAGAATGACGACTTGGTAGGAAGTCACAAAATATTCAAGAAATTCATGTGTAAATATTAAAGAGACTCTAGATCCTCACTTCTTAGAATGTGGTCCAGGGACCTGGGAGCTTGTTAGAAGTGTAGAATCACAGGTCAACTAGAATACCGAATTGAGATTCCTACCTATATTAAAGTTTATGAAGTGCTGGTCTAGATTTCATAATCAACCACTAACAAGACTGACCATATCTTTCATTTCCTTAAATCCTGAAGTTTCTTCTTCAGTTCTGGGATGTTGAACAAAGTCCTAGGTTTTGTTTTTCCAGGACTTGGAAAGTCAGTCGTGTCTCAAGCATCTGTCCTGTTGCTGGACACCTCCCTGAAGGCCTTTGCATTATCTCTGCCTGTGTTGGTGTCTTAGAGACAACAGAAAACTACACTGTCAGAGTTCTGGAGGCTAAAAGTCTAAAATCAAGATGTCAACAGGGCCTTGTTACCCCTGAAGGCTGGGGGAGGATCCGTCCTTCTTTCTTCAGCTTGTAGAAGATCCAGGTATTCCTTGGCTGGTCATGGAGTCGCTCCAATCTCTGCTTCTTCCTTTACGTAGCTATCTGCCCTCTGTGTCTTCACATGACATTCTTTGTATGTCTGTGTCTTCAATACCCTTTTCTTATAAGGACATCAGGACACTGTTACCCTCTGCTCACAACATTTTCATCAGCCATTCAGGATATAACCTTGTTTTATGTATTTTCTGTTTAAACACAACTTAGTTAATGTACCTTGTTGATTGATTAATATTGAATTCACAGCCACTGTATGTAGCACTATAACTCATGCCCAAGTGAAGCTCATCTCATTACATGTATTTTCTCCAGAAGGAACATGACAGCCTTGTTTTGCTTAGGAGCAATACACAGTACTTGAGTACCGCTCTTAGAGGCCATTTTAAATGGTAAAATGACCAACAAAAAACACAAGACTGTGGAAAATGTCACACTAAATAGACCATGAAAAGGACATTTGTTTCCAGTAGGAGAGCAGAAACAGGAAGGTAAAATGTGTCTTGTTCAAAATCAGCTGGGACTGTGCATATCAGGTGAATTGTGTCCACCCCCGCCCCCTTTGCATGTGTATGCAACAACCACAAAACACCATAAGTATTGATTTTGTGGTAACCAATAGATTTTAGTAAGTAGGCAAATTCACATTTACAGAATTTGGAAATAATGTAGATATCTGTATCTTCCCTCACAGGCTGTAGTTTTAGTTACAGAAGCCTTTTTGAAATATCTCAGGTGATCATTTTTTTTTTCAACATGAGTTATTTATTTTTTAAAAAAGAGAGAGATGGGAAGAAATATAATATTATTATGACTATGAACTGGAATCAGGGCTATTTGCGCATGCCTCTTGTATTTCCACATTACTGAGGGTAGGCACAATGGCACCACTTATGCATGTTATGTTGGCTCCTCAGAAGAACTGGAGGCTGTTGCTGTCTCGTAGGACTACTATAGCTGCCCCCCACTCCTCCTCTTCCTTCTTCCCCCACTCTGTGTCTTAAGATCTTCTCCTAAGGAAGGATCTGACTGGTTTAGTGGATTCCAATTCATGGGACAGAGCCCTAGATCCACTCAGACCACTGTCCCTTGGTATAATCTTCTATGTATACCTTTGCCCAACACTCTCAGAGCTCTTCTGTAACTCCTTACCATCTTGTGTGTAAGACTCTTCATGAAACTCTTCTTGAAACTCAGTCTATCACCTGTTAGACTGAGTTTCAAGATGGCGGGGATTGTCTTATCTTTTCTAGTTCCTGGAACTTCATTCTCAATCCGTGATCTTTGAATGAGTATATGAATGAATGGAATAACTTGGAATCCATGAAGAGCAGCTGTACTGGGAACTCCCTGTAGCCATTTCATGTCTTTTATAATGTTTCAAAGGTTCCTGTTACTGTTTCCAAGAATGGAGACTTGGATCCTGCAGATGTTGAGGGGATGGGACCCAACCATCAGTGGCAGCCCTGACGGGGCTGAACTTCAGAATTGGTCCAGTCCTTATATTGAACATTTCCTGTGTAGAAGGCAGCATTTAGGCTTTGTAGGGTTATAAAAAGAATATATAAGAAGTGAACTCCTATTCCCAAAGAGTTTACAATTTGCTTAGGTAGAGAGGGTACACACAGCTGAAAAGTTTATAGGTCAGGTAAGAGATAAGATTAAAGACTTGACTTAGAACAGCTACCCTAAAGCAATGTTTGATTTTCAAATGAGTGGTGCAAGATCTGTGTGTATTGTGGGAGTTGGAGGAGGAGGAGGATTCCTTTGGGCTGGAGTGGTCTGGGAAGGCCTTGTGGAGAAGGAGAGTGGACTCTGGGTCTTGGAGTATTGCTGAGGATTGGCGAGGCCAGGGAAAGAGGAGCAGAGTGCTTGGGATGAGCAAGGAGCAGAAGGTGTCTGCAACATGCTTGGATTAGAAATGTGAGAGGGGTACAAGGAAAAGGCAGGTAGCCTCTACTAGTAAAGGTGAGGCCCTTCATGGTGCACTTCATGACGCTTGCACTCTGGCACTGGTCGGGGTAGGGCAAGCTGGGAAAGAGATATTGATCACCTCATTCCACATTCAACTGGATATAATTTTAAGAACTCATTTTAAGGAGAGAAATGAGTTCCACAAACAAGAGACAGTTAAGGGTTGAAAAGAGGGCTGGGGTATAGCTCAGTTGGTAGAGTGCTTGCCTTGCATGCACAAGGCCCTGGGTTCAATCCCTAGCACCAACACCAAAAAAAAAAAAAAAAAGGGGGGGGGTTGAAAAGGGAATTATAATGTCACATTGTTCACAATGTCCTATAGTGTAGAGACTTGAATTAGCATCAACTTTGCTTTCAGATCTTAGATTAAATACAAATTCAGACAAAAATAGGGTGAAGAAGGGTAAACTGTGTGGAAGATGCTTTATTAGTGATTCCACTCAGCTATATTTTGATGGATGAGGGAAAGTTTTCGAAAGGAATTTGGAAGGAGTGGGGAGAGGCATTGTGTGGGCTGATGAGGAAAGATGTTCAGACCAGGGAGTGATTTGCAAAAGGAAAGTTAAGTTGGAGGAAAAGGGGATGCTTTCAGGTCAGAGGAGAGGACTGTACTGAGGACAAATGCTTCAGGAAGCAAGTAAGAGATTACATCAGAGTAAGAGCAGAGTTGAAGCCAGGATAAATGCTGGTGATCTCTGAAAACAGAAATGGCTGGTAGTGAAAAACCTTGGGGGTAACCAAATTAATTGATTTCCTTTAGAACTCTCAAGTTCCAGTATTTGGAATTCAAGGCATTTCTATAGCCCATATCCCCAAAAGGAACCAATTGGTTGTCATAACTCTTTATAACAAAACTATTTTATTCTGGCATCCTTGGATTTTGGAAGGATAAATACTCTAAAGTATTGTAAAATACTGGTCCTCAGAATGCCTGGTATGTTGAAGGTTTCTTCTACAAACATAGCCAGAGTAGGAGGGGGTAAAATAACATGAAGCAGTCACTGAGGGGGGGGGTCTGAATCTCCTGGCTAGCTGGGTGTCTACAAGACCAGGCCTACCATGTCCATAGGTCCCTTCAACTGAAAGCCCACTCAGAGAATGGCAGGAACTGGGCCATTCCACCACCCCCACCAAGACAGGATGAACAGGATAGATAAGTAGGGGCAGGTGGCCAGAAGGCAGTACCCCTGAATACACTCACCTAGAGCCCCAACCCTGAGGAAGGGGGGTGGAACAAGCAGGGATGATACAGACAAGACAGTAACAGAAATACCTAATGTTATCTTTCTTTTGCTTTTGCAGAAAGGTACCATGCCAGTGGAAAGGATGCGGATGCGCCCATGGCTGGAAGAACAGATAAATTCAAACACAATACCAGGGCTAAAGTGGCTTAATAAGGTAAGTGTGTGCATATGCTTGTGCATGTGAGAGATTGAGATTGAGAGGTCCTGGCTGAGAACATGCTCCCATGGACCACCCAAAGTAAAAATTGTTATTTGTTTTCAAAATCTCAGACTCAATTCATTACAAAAACCAACCAACTAACTATGGTCATAGAACATCAAGTTATCATATCAAAAAAGTTTTTATCATTAGCTCAGAAAGTTACCTCAATCCTGAGTTCTCAGTGGCAGCTCACCTTGGGATTCTGGATACCTTTATGGGAAGCTCCCTGCTATGGTTTTCTTTAGTGACTGTTTAGCCAGCTTTTTCCATCACTGTGACCAGAAGTTCTGATAAGAACAATACAGAGGAGGAAAAGTTTATTTGGGGGCTCATGGTTTCAGAAGTCTCAGTCCATAGATGGCAGACTTCATTGTTTTGGTCTGAGATTGAGGCAGAACATCATGGCAGAAGGGCAGAGGAAGGCCCCTTGGGACCTGGAAAATAGGAAGTAGAATGAGAGAGAGGGACAGAGACCTCTGCTTACCAGGGACATAAGATAAACCCTAAAGGCATGCCCGCAATGACCTAACTTCTGCAGCCATCTCTTATTTGCTTCCTCTGCATTGGTCCAATCCTTATACTGAACATTTCCTGTGTAGAAGGCAGCCTACCTGCCTACAACCACCACCAAGTCAATCCATATCAGTGGATTAATTCACTGATGAGGTTAAGGCTCTCATTTCACCTCTGAACTGCTGGGAGCCATCTGTGAACTGTGCATGAACCAAATGGGCATGGAAGCCATTGGGTAGGAAAGCCTGGTATCTGGGAACTCCCAGTGGCAGTCCTGCTGATTTGAGACCACCCAGTACACGTGCTATCCTACCTAGCTCTGTCAGAGTCCTAAGAGCACTGGAGCCACATAGCCACACAGCCTCTCAGAGATGAGTGTGGCTTGCCAAAATGCCAATCAACCTGTTGACTACAAGACACCGTGAAGCAAGATTCCACCTGCTGAAACCTTATCCCTGACTTTGATGTACTCTCCCTTAAATAAAGGACTGGAGCCATTTTCTAGTTGTTTGGTTCTAACTCCTATGTGGACTAGAGGACCTATCAGGAACTCCTCTTTTTTGAACCTAATTTCTGGCTTTGTCTCTTATTTCTTTACTAAATATTTCAAACTTCCTCCAGTTGGCTCATCACCATCTGAGCAGGAAACTGCCCTGGTAGGGTGTTGGCCGCCCCTTGGTACTGAACTTCCACGCATAGTCTCACGCACGAGCTTTTGAGGGAGACTCATATCTAACTCATAACAGTGCCCTTGCCCTTTTCTTTAGTCTCTAGAGTTCTTTCTTGCTTCTCCTATCTTTCTAGGATGAAAGGACATGGAAATGCTGCCATTTTATATTGGGAATGGAGCATACTGATTTTTTCCCCGAATGCTCTCAATGTAAAGAACCTTCATTTTTGTCTTTTAAAAATACTCATTTTTATCTTTACACGAAACCTTGTTGGTATTCCCACCTGTCTTAAAAAAGAAATTGCTTATCATTTACAACTCCCTCAACGCACACATGTACACACAAATACTCCCTTATTTTGTTAACCTCAGAACTATCAGTCTAATCAATCTTAGCTATTGGGGGTGCATCAGGAAGAGATAATGCATGCAAAAATAACAAATATCTAAAAATATGTAGTTATAATTTAGAAAAGTGACTCGATGTAATATGTCATGCCTGTTTTAAGGAGGCCCAAGGGATAAGTTTCTCTCCTGCTACCAGGAACAATTGCAATTCTTCTGAGCAAATGTCTTTTTCCTAGTCACCATCCCCCAACCCTTTTCTTTTTTAATCTTAAGGACATGATGAATAATTTAGCTGGTCAGGCTTTATCTTTGTTCCAGGTGTAAGAGCTTAGAGCCAGATTGCAGACTGTGTCCTGCTTCTAACAAGGGAAGAAGGTGCTGCAGCAATTTTTCTTTTCTTTAATATCACTCCTGGCTTCATTTTATCTTTTTAGATATCTTAAATCTTTTTTTTTTTTTGTTCTTTTTCCCTTGTTCATTTATTTTGAACTCAATGTTCCTGTATTTGAATACGGCAAGTGAGTCCTTTCTGAAACAAGGTGCTCGTTTTGTGTGTTTACTGGGGCACCTTGAGGCCTCAGACAATATATTTTTCTATGCTTGTTCTACCTATTGTGTTTTTAGATTTAGATACATAATTTTCCTTTTCCAAAGAAACAAATAAGAAACCAGGTTGTTTCTTCTACAGCTCAGTTAGCAGCGGTATATGAAGGTAGAAGGAAAGGGAGTTGGAGACACATAGGGTAACAAATAAAAAGAGCAAAAGCTAACATTTGTCAAGTGCCCCGTTCCCAGGTACTCTTCTAAGCAGGGCATATGTGTTAATTCACATGATCCCCACTGAGGAAGGCATGGGGAGGGTAAGTAGGATTCTATTTTGAATAACAAGAAAACATTGTCTTGATTTAGTGTAAGATTGAGGTAGATGTTCCTGAATTTGAAGAAAGTTGTCCGTTTTCTCTTTTTCTTATTCTAAAACGTGCCTCTGTATGTGGAGAACATGCAATGCCACCAGGCCTCCTGTGTCAAGTAGGCACTTGATAGGCTGTATTTGGTCGTGCTCTACAGGAAGTTGAATGATGCCCCCACCCCAGGGTATGTCCCCATCTAACCTCCAGAACCTGCAGCCTTATTTGGAAAAAGGGTGTTTGCAGATGCAGCAAAGATCATCCTGGATTCTCTGGCTGGGCCCTAAGTCCCATGACAGTTGCCTTTATAAGACGCACTCATGCACACACACGCATACACACATACACAGGAGAACCTATGTGAAGACACTGAGACTGGCATGACACAGCCACAAGCCAAAGAACTCTTGGAGCCACTAGAACCTGGAGGAGGCAAAGATTCTTCCCTAGAGTTTTTGAAAGGAATACAGGCCTGCTGACACCCTGATTTCAGATTTCTGGCTTCCCAGAACTGGGATAGAATGTTTCTGTTACTATAAGCTGTCCTGTTAGAGTCTTTTGTTATAGCCTTAGGAAATCAAGGCACCCTCCAAGGATCGTCCTCTGCAGGACTGTCCATGGAGGCCTCTCTTTTTCCATCCACTTTGTCCATGTTTTTCTGATCTAGAACCAAAAGGCAAATGGATATCTTTTTGCATAACTGAACACTTAGTCCCTCACAGATGGTCCTTCTCTGCTGGTCTTCATTCATTTGCTCTTGGCGAGAGAGTTCTCTTTCTGAGTAGGAGTGGGGAAGGGGACTTCTTTGCCATCTTGTGGGCTCTTCTGCTAGAGCTGTACATGAGCCCAGCTGGTGGAAGGGCTGCTGACCACTGCTGCCCCTCAGGACAGTGCTGGCACAGTATGGCCTGGTGTTCCCTATCAGGTAGGGGTCCCACTGGGACCTAGCCACAGCAGGCATGTGGCTGTGTTTGTGCCCACAGGCAGTGCCATCATGGTCACTGCAGACCTTGGTTGGGGTCAGGGTATCAGCTCTCCAAAGCTACATTCCCATGGGCATTTAAAATTTATTTTTAAAATTTGTTCTAATTAAGTACACATGACAGTAGAATGCACTTTGACACATCATACATAAATGGAGTATAATTTCTCTTTCTTCTGGTTGTACATGATGTAGAATCACACCAGTTGTGTGATCATATATGTACATAGGGTAATAATGTCAAATTCATTCTACTATCCTTCCTACTCCCATACCCCTTCTCTCCCTGCACTTTCCTCTACCCAATCCAAAGTACCTCTGTTCTTCCCAACTCTCCGCCCTTATTGTGAATTAGCATCTGCATATCAGAGAAAACATTTGGCCTTTGTTTTTGGGATTGGCTTATTCTGCCTAGCATATTCTCCAACTCCATCCATTTATTAGCAAATGCCATAATTTCATTCTTCTTTAAAGCTGAATAATATTCCATTGTGCAATACACCACATTTTCTTTATCCATTCATCTATTGAAGGGCACTTATGTTGGTTCCATAGTTTAGCTATTGTGAGGTGAGCTGCTATAAACATTAATACATTAATGTGGCTGCGTCACTGTAGTATGCTGATTTTTTTTATAGGTTTCTTGTTGATTTAGACTTGTTGGGATTCATCTGTCCACATAAATACTTCATCCAGAGCCTAATATTTTCTTTCCATTCACAAGCATCCCTGCCCAAGAATCCCTGTTTTTAGTTTGAGTAGTTCAATCTCTTTCTCACTAAGACTGCAGGGACTAAGAAAGCAGATGCTGCCCCTGGGTCTTTGATTTACTTATGCCTTAGTTAGTGTTGCAGTCCACTTTGTGTTGCTGTAACAAAATACCTGAGCTTGGGTAACTTATCAAGTGTATTTGGCTTACAGTATATTATAGCTAGAATGTCCAATCAGCAGGGTGCCCATGTCCTGGCGAGGGCTTCCTTAACTGCTTTATAACATGGCAGAGAAGTAGAAGGGGCCAAGTGTGTAAACAAGGAAGAAAGACATCTAGAAGGACCCTGACTTGCTCTTACAATTGCCACTCTTAAGGGGGGAACTATTCCACTCTTAACAGATCTGATCCTCTCCTGTGAGACGGCAGTGGTGCATTCAGTAGTCCTCTTTAACTAATTATCCACTATTAGACTCCATCTCTTAAAGGTTCTACCACCTCAATACCTCCACACTGGGGACCAAGGAAACTTTGGAGGATGCTCTCTAACCACATCCAAGTCATAGCCGTTGAATTCAGAATGTGTCCTATTTATGGTGCAATCTCCAGGCTCAGAAGCCCCACAAACAGTGCATGGCGGTCTTGTCATAACTGTCCAGGCCTCCCGCCTGCTGAGCAGGAGGCACTCCGTAAGCATTGTTCTGCGACTGCATGGATGCAGGCTGTGTTCTCGAGGAGGGGCAACGTTGGTGGCTGTGTTTTTGTTCTGTTAGGATTATCAGACTTATCAATAGCGAGTTAGCCATTGTCACAGGATTATCAGAGTTATCAATAGTGGGTTGGCCATTGTCACATCTCTCTCTTCAGTGAAGCCTTTCCAACTCAGTACATTCTTAGTAAAAAACGAACAGGTGATTAATTACTGGCTAAATTTGTTTCCATTTCCTCCTCCTAATAAATTTGAAGGAGGGAAGAAATGGATTAGGTCATTTGAATTCCTTCAAAGGAGCAGGAAGTTTATCAAAGCAGTATTATATGTGGCTTATGAATGGGGCTGGGGCTTGAACAACTTCTTTTTATTATGAGTAGGTTTGGATAGTCTAATGATTAGGATGAATAGAATAGCAAATTCCCATATGCTCACATCTTAGATCTATTAATTTTTGTTGTGTTTTTGTGTGTGCATGCATGTGCATGCGTGTATGTGTGTGTTTGTGTGTTGTGTGTGTGTGTTATTATAAAACCACTCTCTGACAATGTATGTTTGTAAGATTTAAGGACATATCAACAATGCTGTTATCAATTAGATAAAGTTAATAATTTTCAATGTCATCATTATCCCATTCATATTCAAATGGCTTTTGTTTTCCCAGAATATCTTTTTACAGCTCATGCACCTGATTCATTCAATCAGACTCTTAAAGAAAGCTCACAGGTTGTGTTTGGTTTTATGACTTGAAGCCTCTTCTGATGGTGAACAGCATCCTGTGTTCTTTTTGTTTTCCTTCTTGCCCTTGACTGTTGAAAGGGTCTAGGGTAGTTCTGGAATTGTCCAATTTTGTGGTGTCTCTGGGTCATTTATTTAGGAAGCAGGAGGCAGACACTGCCAGGCTCATTGTTTCCCATCCTGGTTATTGATGTTCTTAGTGCATGAGGGACATCCCCTGGAATGCAGGCATTGAGGCCACTGCCCAGGCACAGAGACCATTCGGCAGTGCCAGACTTTCCCTTTTCTCTTCTTGAAAACAGGCTTGTGTTTGTGTCAACATTAGGCTGTCTTTGCCCCAAGTAAGAAGTCCAAAACAAAACAAAAAAGCAAACTGATCAGAATATCTTAAAAATATTGGAAGAAAGAAGAGAGAGATAACTGGACTAGTTTCTGCAGGAGCCAAAGTGTGTGTTCTGCACTGTGCAAGAGAATCACAGATGCTTTTCAGAGCTCAGGCAGTGCTTGTGTCTTCTGCCCTCTGATGGGCTGGTCACGGAGTCTACAAAGACACATAGCAGCACTGTTACTATCCCTCAGAATACAGGGATCTATGATTCGAACATTTACTCAGTAGAATCTCTTTTGATTTAAAAATGAATCTCACCTTTTACCTTTCAACATGGTCTTTTTAAAAACGGTATCTGTGATATGCTTATTTTAGTAGTTTCTTCTTTATTTTTTTTGCAATAATTTTTTTAAAAAACCCATGTAAATAGTCAAAAGTTACATGGAAGTTCTTTTTTTTTTTTTAAATCTACCATTTTAACTATTTTAAGTGTGCAGTTCAGTGAGAATAAGTACATTCATGCTCTTGTGCAAACCATCCTCATGTAGTTCCAGAACTTTTTTCCTGTCAAAAGGAAACACTGTACCCTGTAAACCCTCAGAGCCTATTTCTTCCTCTCTTAGCTCAGGGCAACCACTAAGCTACTTTTCTGTCTATAAAAACTTTGCCTTCTCTGGATATTTCGTATAAATGGAATCATTCAATATTTGTCCTTTGGATCTAGCTTCTTTTAGCACAACGTTTAAAAATTCATCCTTAACTGGGCATGGTGGCACAGCCTGTAATCCCAGGGTCACAGGAGGCTGAGGCAGAAGGATCGAGAGTTCAAAGCCAGCCTCAGCAAAAGTGAGGTGCTAAACAACTCAGAGAGACCCTGTCTCTAAATAAAATACATAATAGAGCTGGGGATGTGGCTCAGTGGTGAGTGCCACTGAGTTTAATCCACGGCACCAAAAAAAAAAAAAAAAAAGAAAGTTCATCCTTGTGGTAGCATTTTTAATTCCTTTTTGTGGCTGAATATGCAATATTTTGTGTATACATTCATCAGCCGATGGAAAGGTGAGTTGTTTGCATCTTGAGGCTTTTGTGAGTAGAGCTACCGTGTACATTTATATATCAGGTTTTTGTTTGGACACCTGTTGCAATCTTAGGGTATGTAACCAGGGGTAGAATTACTAGATCAACTGGTAATTGTGTTTTACCTTTTTGAGGAATGGCTAAGCTGTTTTTTCAAAGTGGCTGCACTATTTTATATTCCTTCCAGCAGCATAGAAGAGTTCTAGTTTCTCTGCATCCTCATCAACACTTTTTATTTTTTATTTTTTGCTTTTTGTCGTTGTAAATTTTTAAAATTCCAGCCATTCTGGTAGGTGTGAGGTATTTGTTGCTTTGATTTGCAGTTCCTTAATGACTTAATGAGGTTCAGCATCTTTTCATGTGCTGTTTATTTGTTTATTGAGAGAGGTATATTTGGGTCTTTTGCCAATTTCAAGAAGAGCCATTGTGGATTATTTATTTATTTATTTATCTATCTGTCTATCTATCTATTTATTTATTCGCAGTGCTGGGGATTGAACTCAGTGCTGCATGCATGCTAGGCAAGTGCTGTACCACTGAGCCACACCTCCTGCCCCTCCTTGGTGGATATTGCAGGGTTTGGTAGCTGTTTTTTTTTTTTTTTTTAATTATTTTATTCTAATTTGTTACCTATGACAGCAGGATGTATTACAATTCATATTACACAGAAAGAACACAATTTTTCATATCTCTGGTTGTATACAAAGTATATTCACACCGTTCATGTCTTCATACATGTACTTTGGATAATGATGGCCATCTCATTCCACCATCATTTCTAACCCCATGTCCCCTCCCTTCCCCTCCTATCCCTTTTATTTGATTTCATGATTTTTACATGGTTTCTGTGAGACTAGATTTGATTTTGTGTGTGTGTGTGTGTGTGTGTGTGTGTGTGTGTGTGTGTGCCTGTGCACAAATGCTTATAAGGATCTGCCTTACCTTTGTGCCTTGCAAGGTAGACTTTACAGCGTGTCATTCCAGAACTCTCTTGGTCTACCAGAAAAAGTACAACAGCAAACTTTTTAGGATATGTGTCTTTCAGCAGAAAATTTTAGATTGTGTGTGTGTGTGCATTTCAGGAAAATTATTTCATTGGAAATCAGTTCTTTTTCATTTATATTCATGTTCATGTGAACATAAAAAAAAAAAGCTGCATTGAAGGATTTTGTTTTCAGATTTTCATGTACAGTAACAACCAAAAAAGAACACCACTTTTCTTTGCACTTTGGCCTACCTGAGATGAGACTCTGCAATGGCTGCAAATGACACAGAATGAATAATGAAGAGTTTATGAAAAGGTCTCTCACTTTCAGTTCTTCTTTATTAACTGACTTTTAAAAATATGGTAGAATTTTCCCTTGTAACAGTTTTTGGGAAACTCTCCAACATTCTGAAATATTTTCAGCTTAGTGAAGAGGTACTGAGTCCCTGTAGGGACCGCTGGGACGCTTTCTGGATTTCACCATGTAAGACCAAAGTGGTGGAAAATCCCTCCTGATATTCCCTTTCCTTCCCAGTGCGTGCACCCTGAACTTAGCAGTAATCAGGATTGCCTGAGAGCTCTTTAAAAAGTGCAGTTCCTGGGCCCTACTCTTCAAGAATCCAGGTCTGTCATAGGACAGGGAATCCTCTAACGCCAGGAAATAATATGTAGTGTGAATATGGAATCACTTGACCTTGGTTTAGAACATAGACTTTTTTAATCATAAGTTCCTTGATTTAATAATTTGGTTCTGTTTCTCAACTGAAAAATGAAAATTATATTCTTAGTTTGGTAGCTAGTAACTGTGAGATATAAAACTGAGCCTGTGGACATGGGTAGACAAATGTACAGTGCTTCGGGGACCTTTGTCTTTCTGGCTGGACCAGGGTGCACCACACGCAGTTTCACTGTGAATATGACTTTGTTTCTGAAGCTTTAGTTTCTAATCATGTGTTTGCCTGGGTTGTTTTATTAAGCAGTTTGGGGTTATCTCTGATTGTAAGAAAGAGAGAGAGAATCTGACAGGATTGTACTCAGGAACTTTTTACCAGAAACTTTATGAGTGTCCTCTCATAGGCTCTTACATTTTTGTTCGTACTTCTTGCTATTTCATGCAGGGCTATAGACCTCTAGGGATTAGAACAAGAGACAAAATTCTCTATTTTTGTCAAACACACAAGCAGATGGAGATATTTGGTTTCTGTGACAGTGACCTCAGATAACACTCAACTTCCCTTTAGCAGCCTAAAGGGTGTGTGTTATTTTTAACTTACCTAAGGCAGCTGGAGTTACTGTTTACCAAATGATGAGAAGAAACTGTAAGGATATGCATTAGAAGTTTCAGTTGGTGACCAGTTATCTATGGTACTGTTAAAAAAAAAAAGACAGGCACAAATTGTAGGACTCTTTGGCACATCCACATCTTCCCTTTGACCCTGGAATACATTCCTACTCTTCCAGGCTTCAGGAGATTCTCACTGTCCTCCAGGGTAGACTGTCAAGATTTGGGACCCTTTGGGGAAGTGCATTTGCTTTATGGTTGATTGTACCATAGATACTCAGCAACTCAGTGGTACTTAGTGGGAAATCTTATTAGCTAGAACTTAAGAACCCTTCGTCATGTTTAGCCAAACCCCATGACTGCAGTTCTTTTTTACCTTCATTAACTCCAGGAAAAGAAGATTTTCCAGATCCCCTGGATGCATGCGGCTAGACATGGGTGGGATGTGGAAAAAGACGCACCACTATTTAGAAACTGGGCCATCCACACAGGTAATCAACCCCCTGTATTGTGTAGCGTCAGGTGCTATCGTTCGTTTTCATTACAGATATAATGTATCCTGACTTATGGTCACATCACAGAGAAGTGGTGTTCCACCCATCCTCCAGGACCTCGGTCTTTAAATGGCCCCCAATGTAGTATTCTGATAAATTCCCCAGTGTTACCAGGGCAATATTCATTCATTTGTTCTGGAGCTATAAACTTGGGTTGAATTTGTTTTCCCTAAAGGTAGTCAGGCATGTATTTATTCATTACAAAATTCAAGTAGGGAGCTATTTACAGGGATGAAATTTTTACTCAGTGTTTGAAAATCACAAATTATTTCTGCCTGTTGGGCTTTCACCCTTGCATAGAGTTCACATTGATTCTCCATTCTACCAGTTGATTTTTTTCTCTCAAGCAATTTGGTAGAAACCATCCCTGCTTGTCTCAGTTTGCCCCAAAGTGTCTAGGTTTTAAAAATAAAATTCTAACATCCTAAGAACCTTCCCCTTCAGTCCCAGACAAAACAGAATGGCTGGTTACTGTGGGCAAAGGCTCTAATGAAAAGGTCTCTCTGTAGTACCTGGTCAGCAAGACTTTGTTTCCAGAACTTTTTTACTCTGTGTCTAATTTTTCCTTTTGTTCCCCCCGCCTCTGGCTATTTTGTTAGGAAAGCATCAGCCAGGAATAGATAAACCTGATCCCAAAACATGGAAGGCGAATTTTCGATGTGCCATGAATTCTTTGCCCGATATCGAAGAAGTTAAGGATAAAAGTATAAAGAAAGGAAACAATGCCTTCAGAGTATACCGGATGTTGCCCTTATCTGAACGACCTTCTAAGAAAGGTATAGATATTTACTGACTAAAATAACAATCGCTCAATACATACCACGATGCCTTTGTGATTTCTTTTATTTCTACAACCATGGTTGCTACAAGGGCAGAGTACCTGTTAATGCCGTAGGTGATGATTCTGCCCTTACCTCACTTGGAAAAATGTCTTTCAAGGCACCAAAGGCATAAAAGATTCATTTGAATTTTGATCATGTGTAGATTAAAGTAACAAGTTCACTGAGAGTTTTAGAATTCAATGCAGGGGAAATGTTTCTCTCTCTGTCCACAAATTAATCCCAAACTATTGTTTGTTGCCACAGGAAAGAAACCAAAGACAGAAAAAGAAGACAGAGTTAAGCACATCAAGGTAATCTTCGGTTGTTCAGAGAGAGAGCCAAAATTGGGCCCACATTAATGATTCATGTTCTGTTTCATACAAACAAATAATATGATCTCTGTGGAGTGTTCAGTCTCTCAGGTGCTTTATGTGTCTCCTCTTTGGCATGTACTCACTTGCAGACACAGGAAAACATATTCCCCACTTAATCCAATATCACTGAGAAATTTATGAATGAAGTTACAAATTGACGCTGTGCTCGACAGTCCAAAGCCTGCATCTGGTCATTACAACTGTTGTCTGCCAGTTAGTTCCAACTGCGCTCTAGTAGCCAGCTTACATTTTATATTATTATGAAATTTATTTTCAGGCTATTAAAGATATTTTAATGTATCTTAAATATCATGTACTTCTATTAAAATGTATTAACTATATTTTACATATATTCCATCATAGGCCATTAGGAGGGGGATGCAGTGCTGAGCTCAAGCACTCTGTTGGTGTAGTTCTCATGGTTGCTTTCTTCTCCACTGTAGAACTATCTCTCATGACTTTCAAGGGTTTTCAGTAGGGTTGTGTGTATGTGCAAGAGCTTTTCAGTAGGCTGTCTGATATGTTTGAGGATCTTTGTGCATGAATTGTATAGCCCTTGTTAAACAGTGAGAAAAGAGCCAATATCCCATGCACAGCTGGGGAACAGCTTCTGTGGATAAGAAAGAGCAGATGGTACAGTCACAGACCCATAGGCCACCTGAGAGACCATCAAGTTCACGGGCTTCTATTTGCAGAGGAAGAAACCGAGGTGCAAAAGTTGACTGGCATATGTCCAAGATTGTGTGGTCATAACTATTCTGATTTGTAATCTAGAAGCACTGTTGAAAAAAAGACCCATACTGTCCAGACAGCATGATGTTTAAAAACAAGCCGGTAAATTGAGATCATCAGAAGAAAAGTGCAATATAATTTATTTCAGATATATAATGAAGCTTGTGGGAGGGTCATATCCCTTGTTATCCATGGAGGATTGACTTTAGGATGCCCGCTTAAAACCCATAGATGCTCAAGTGCCTTATATAAAGTAGTATTGTATTTGCATAGAATCAGTGTATATCCTCCAGTTCACTTTAAATCATCTCTAGATTACTTATGATACCTAACAAAATATAAAGGCTATGTAAGTAGCTGTCTATTGTCCAGGGGGTAGTGACAAAGTAAAAAACTTGTGTGTGTTCAGTGCAGACACAATTGCTTTTTCTAGTATGTTCAGTCTGCAGTTGAATCCATAGATGCAGAACATGTTGATACAAAGTTAGATTTTGAAAAACCTGGAAAAACTTTTCAAGTTTTGGAGAGATTTACCTCTGCAATGGAAAATAAATACTGTAGACATAGTATTTTAGCAGGGGTACTTCTAGTTGCATTTTTGATATTTTTAGTTACTGGCTCATTTATAATGTAGCACAATATTAAGAACTAATTTACTTAAGTTTTTATTGTGGAAATATTTTATACACATAGAAAGGAGACAAATGGAGTAAACTTCACTGCAGAGACGATCACCCTAATATCAACATTAATCAGCTTCTTGCCAATTTTGTTTCATTAGTATTTTCTAATGACTTCTGACTTTCAACATAAAATCATAGATATTCAACTTATTTTGACTTACAAAAACAATTTCTTATGGTTTAGTTCAATATTTGGAAGCAAATTCCAAACACTATGTTATTTCTTCCACAAATATTTCACTTTGTATATTTGAAAGATAAATGCTCTTTAAAATACCATAGTATCAGTATTTTACATGAAAACATTAATAGTAATTAATTGATATCATCAAATATTCAGCCAGTGTTTAGATTTCCAGTTGTCTCAAATATTATTGTACCTTTTATTCAATTTGTTTACCTGAATTAAGATCCATAAAAGACTCACATGTGATTTTTTTTATGTCTCAAGTTTTTTTTTAATCTATAGGTGTTTCCTACATCACTTTTTAAAAAAATTATTTTTTCTTGCAATTGTGAAAAACTAGTTGTTAGCCATCTCTCACGACAGTGTGGATTTTTTTAAAGTCTTGCAGTTTGATTATTTTATTAAATGTATTTTTTCCATAAATATGTGATTTTGAAAAATTTGATAGAATCTTAAGTGTGAATGTATCATATTTACTCTTTTCACAGCATCTAGCTTAGTGCCTGGCATGGAGCAAATAATTAATACATTTTTTTGACAACTTAATGGATGCATAAACATTTTTGAATAAATAGATGCATAAATAAATATGTGGTGAAGTGAGGGATTTTATATTAGGATGCAGATTTAATTTCACAACTGCAGGTAGGAGAGAAATAAGAATGGAGTAACATGTTTATTTTAACCCATTTTGTATAAATCTACCCACTATTTTCCATTGAATGTCAGATGCCAATGATTATAAGACGTATAAGAAATATATTATTTTACGTATTTCTCAGAAAAATCAGCTTCCAATGAAGCAATGACACACAATTATTATAAGGCACCTCTGTTTCAGGGGTGTGGAAATGTGAAGAAATGTGCTTCCTAGAATTGATGACATGAGGCGTTCTCATAAGTAAGGGATCCTTGCCTTGACATTACCCTTGAAGTGACTTCCACATGTCCATTAAAATGAGCAAGTTGAGGAGAGCATGGCTGTGAGTGGGACTTGGCCTTGTTGGCTCAGGAAGAAAGTGAGAGGTTCCCCTTGGGTGCAGCATGTGAGTCAAGTTCCCCCTCAGCAAAGTGCGTATTCTGAAATTCTCTGTAATGAAGATATGGTCAGTCCCTGAAATGTGTCCCTTGGGGGACACCATTCCTTCAGCAGAAGGCAGATGATTCATCAGATATAAGTTCAGCCTAACTTTTGAATTTAAATCTACTTCTACATGTCTTATAACACAGCAGTGGAAAATGGGTAAGGCCAGTGGGCTGCCCACGGTTTGTGGTTCCTGGCTGCCAAAGTCAGTGAGTTGACTTGGGGTATCTGTAGAAGGTTTTTACAGTTAATTCCCCAGGTGGTCTGGAATGGTGCAGGGAGAGGACCTTATCCTTTCTGAGCTATGAATACATGACTTTTTTTTGTATATTAGAACACCTGAGCTCCAAGTTTATATGTTCTGTGCAAACTTATAACAGGATAAACTAGGTAGCTTTCTTCTGTTCAGAAGTTTGTCAGTGTGTGCCTAGTGTCATGAATACGTGCTGTCGAGGCAAGCTCTTCCCAGTTTTCAAATCCAGTTGAGGCTTTAATTAGCAAACGATGTTTAGGACATGCCAGCCAATTACCTGAAGTTTTTCTGGGTCACTCAGATGATTTATGCTGTCACAGCACCCACTTTGGTCCCCCAAGATTCACAGCCATATGGTTGGTTTGGAAATGATGCCTCAATCTCCTCGGGTATTCTTTTTGTGAATGCATTCTATGTACTTAGTGAACCACGTTTTACCTGACCTCCGTCCCACCTGTGTGAAGGTGGCCATCTAACGAAATTTGAAAGGAAAAAACAATAGTGAATTATGTTAGACTGTATGTCATCAGTACATATATGTGTTTCAAAAATATCATGGTGTAGTGTTCTGTGAGAATTCAGACAAGACAGAGAACATAGGATAAAAGTAGATAAAACTGAGGGTAGACAGTTGGCTTTTTTTAACCCCTCTAATTGGCAATTATTATAACCTCATTTGATCTCCCTGTGATAAATAGGTCATCTCCCTTTTACATATTGAGGAAGTAGAGGCACAGAGAGATTGAGTTATTTTGCCAAGGTTGCACTGCCTTATGGAACTCTGGGACTTGGATTCCAGTCAGTTATCTCCAGGACCGGTGCTCTGTTACTTCATCCAGTGCCTCTCTGTCTCTTGGAATCTGCAGTGAGAACTTTGGGTTGGGTAGGATAAAATGGAAGCATTTCTCAAAACTAGAAGCTTCATGAAGGAAGCTCTAGAGATGATAGTTGTTGTTGAGTCTTCCTTGGATGAGTCAGGAAACTGGCTTAAGAGCAGGAATTTTTGTGAGGGAACAGTAGAAAATGAAGATGTACAGGTAGAGCAGTTATAAACGAATACTTCCTGCCTTAGAGGGTGGTCTGCAGGTGGAATGTGTGCTTTGAAGCTGTGAAATGCTTCCAGATCAAAGTATTAGTGTCATGATGGAAATATAATTGAAAGGGGCCTAAAGCCACTGGTGAAGAGTAGGACAGGCTTGTGTGAGTTCTCAACCCAGACCCATGGGCAGAACTTGCAAAACACAGCAGATTCCAGTCCACAGAACCTTCCCACAGAGCTGATGGCTCTATCAGCTACACAAGCCACATGAGCTCTCAGTCATTCAGGGGCAGGCCAGGTGACCACCTGTTTTAGCTGTTGCTACAATAGTCCCTTCACAAGTTGCAAGAGGTCTTTCAGTTTTTAAACTTAATCAGATGAAAACACGAGAAACCCACTTGAAAAGCACATAAAATCCTACCTTGGGTGAAACAGTATCAATCAGGCTTATCCCGCCTACTCTGATTGCTTCCTTCCTCTATAGGTGGCTTTTAAGAGGACTACTTTGAGCAAGTATGGGTGATTTTTGTGACATCAAGTACAGTTGAAATCCTTAGAGCAGATTTTTGGAGCATGATAGAGTTGGTATTTATGTTTTTTTTTGTTGTTGTTGTTTGTTTTTTTGTTTTGGTTGTGGGGATTGAACCCAAGGCCTTGTGCATGCAAGGCAGGCACTCTATCACTCTACTAACTGAGCCATATCCCCAGCCCTTTAGAGTTGGTATATAAGGCGGGTTTTTCTTGGGGTGATCAGAAGGGATGGTGGGGGGGAGAGACCATCACAGCAAATGCAGACAAAGATGGCAGCCACGAGAATGGAGCAGAGGAGACATTTCTCCAGAGCATGGAAGGAGGTTCAGAAGATAAAAACAGGAGTAATTAAAGAGGAGGCCCAGAGAAAGGATGCTGGGAATGGTGCTCATTATGGAAAAGAGGGCAGGTTTAATTTTGAGTGCCAAATGGCAGAGAGCCCTGTAAAGCAAATGTTCTTCAGCAGATTGGGTCACAGGCATAGAACTCTGGTACGTGTTGAGGGATGTAAGTGGATGGTCATTTGCTCCAGAATGACATTAGACAGATGCCTTCTCCAAGACAGCCACTCTGTGAGATGCAGACAGACCCCAGGAAGAAGGGAGAGAGAGGAAGAGAAGTCAAAAGGGAAGCTGCAGTGAAGAAAAGGGAGAGAGTGAAGAGGACCCCGTTCTAGAAAGGGAACGTATTTCTGGGACTAGGCCAGAGGCTGCAGGCTGTTTTGTACTAGAGCTATTCTTTATGGACTGTGGCTGCTGGGACACGATGTGTGCACCCTTCTAGGTCCAGTTCCCTGGCCCACTCTGTGGAGCTCAGTTGCCAGCCTGAAATTTTTGTTACCTGATAGATCTAGAGATACCCTTCTATCGGATGTCCTTAAATTGTTTTAAAGGAGACTAGCTTTGCTTGGATGAATTAGGGCATTTTGGGATATGGAACGGTGGAAAGTCACTTATGGCTGTTACTTGAGGGGAAGAGAGGTAACGAAAAGGAACTTTTGACATGGGTGAGACAGAATGGGCTTGGAGCAGAGGGATTCGAACCTTGGCCCAGTAGAGGCCCTCAACTCCTCTAACTTAGGATCACCCCAAGTCCATTGAGCAAGCCTAACTTGAGACCAGCCAAATGTGGATTATTTACAGGCCTAAAGATAGCTGCTCTTACCTTTAAACTCTCTGTTGCTAGTTTGTTTTTGCTTAAAATCTCTTAAACTGTAGACCAAACCTTAGGTTCTGTAATTCTAGAAAGTATTCTTAAACCTAAATATTTGGCAGAGTTAATGCATGAACTTTTATGGTTTTCTTTGGAGCAAGGCAAGAGGATCAGAAACCAAGAATGCTATAGGCTACTTGATTTACAGGAGAGTCTTTATCTAATATGAAAAAGAGAACTGAGAGGAATCTGTTAATATGAGCCATGCTAGGTGACGGTGCAGTGTGAGGCCTGGTTGTGTCTGGTCAGGAGTGAGGCATCAGAAAGGACCTGCTAGACTTGCACTATGTCTGGGCACATAGTACATAAAGAACTTTCCGCTTCTTTTCTCAGCTTGAATCCTTGAGTTATTTAATATTCTGTAGGTTTAGATGTACTTACTTCTAATCATTTCATCATTTTGACTGAGTTTAGTGAAGGCCCTTTTTCCATGGGCCTATTGTTCTGGGTGGAGTCCTTTCTATTTTACTGTACAGCTTACCATCTTGTCCTTCCACAGTGACAGTACTAATGAGATGGTTCCCATTGAAGACTGAAATTGCCAGGATTTTTTTTTGGGGGGTGGGGTGGGAGATGGAGGTGGGAGGAATAAAACAAAATTCAAAATAGTTTCTCAGTCTCCATTGGTAAAAATGTATTTCTCCATTGCAGAACAGGTAGGGATGGTGGTGTAAAACAAGGTCCAGATAATTCTCTCAGTCTCCATTGGAATGAGTCTAGGATACAGGGGTTTATTAAGACAGAAAGATCCTGGGATTGAACCATTGTGCATGAAAGACTGAATTTAGTTTCTGTATCTCCTCAGATTAAAAGGAGTGTGATCTTGCAGAGTTAATTTAGTCTCTGAGTAATGATTTTCTCAAGTGGAAAGTGAAAAAAGTATCACTTGCCACTAAGTAAACTGTAGATCATATGAAGCACAGAGATCTTTGATTGAGAAGTCCGAATAATTTAGGCTTGTGAATATATGCAAGTCTGACTGCCTTGTTATTTTGGTAAGAAATTTAGAAACAGAATGAGTTAAAAAAAAAAAACCAAAATAACAAAAGAAACTTCTAAAAAAAAAAAAAGCAGTTCTTTGCACAATTTCCTCTGATCCCTACACTGAGTTCCTTTGGAGGCAACTGAGGAGATGGAAGTGGAATAATGAAATTTGAGGGATGATTGGGGAGGGAGAGACTCAAAGGGGACCCTAGAGGATGCCATTAAGAAAGGAAAGTTGGGTTGTGGCTCAGCGGTAGAGTGCTACCACATGTGAGGCACTGGGTTTGATCCTAGGCACCACATAAAAATAAAATAAAGGTGTTGTGTCCATCTGCAACTAAATAACCAAATTTGTTTTTTTTAAGAAAAAGGAAGGTACTATTGGAATGAAGGGAATGAAGCAGTGTCCAGTTTAGTTCAGTGTGTCAAGGGGGTATAGTACAGAGCTCCCTATTAGGTATAAGAGTTGGGGTCTAGGGAAAGAGAAGTGGGAGAGGGCCACTGAGTTTGGGAGAATCAGGATTCATCAGTAACCCTTGATTGTGGTGAGGAACTTACTTAATAGTAAGTACCGCGTACTTATTTGTCTCATTTAATCCTCACGTCAGCCCTGTGGCATGGATCTTGTTTCCATGGATTTCAGTTTACAACTGTCTGAGTGCCCTAAGAAAAGCTTAACGGGGTTAAATAAAGTCCTGCAACCAGTGAAAAGCGGAGGAGCCTGTCTTTGGCCCCTGGTTTGTCTGATTCCAAAACCCATGACCTTACCAGCCTCTGGGAGCTGGATTCTGCACATGGGGTGGAAGTGAGACCACAGGTACCTACTGACAGACAGGGAGCGTGGGAGGAGACAGTTAGGAAAGGCAGACATTAATTCAGTGGTTTGGCTTTAGGAAGGAGGGGAAAAAAAAAAACGGTGACTCAGGTCACAGAAAGTGAAGCGTTTTCCCAGGAATGTTAGGCTTCTTATTTGAAACTTATAAAAGAGATGTTGGAGGAAAAAGGGAAGGAAAAAAAAAATCTGCCCAGGAGTGCTGTTCTGGGTTCTTCCTTTATTTATGTTTGACCTTTAGTATGTCTGGTTAGCCATGCAGCGTATGATTTATTTTTTCTCTCTTCCTCTCTTCTCTCTCTCTTTTCCTCTTCTTTTCTTTTAATTTTTAACCCAGCTGCACAGTGAAATAATTCCTTAACATTGGATCATGGGATCATGAAGAAGGAGACTATCTCCCTTCCTATGTGATTGCTCTAAGATTTTGGGAGGAGGTTAGCATTGATTCCAAGTAGCACATAAGTAGACCATAATGGTAATAAGAACACCCAGCATGCCTTAGGCTGTGACTGCTCTTGACCTTCCAAAGCACAGTTCTATCTCTACCTCTGTGGTCCTCTGTGGTCCTCTGTGCCCAGTCTTGTGCTCCTTCCTCTGCTACCCTCTTCTTCCATTTTGGATTCCTCAGGAATCATCCCGTGTGGCTTTTGTCTGATTTTCATTGTTATCATCAAAGCAAATGCAATCTTACCTTGAGGAAATACTCTCATCAAACTACTTACCTCAGGACTGGCTTTCTTGGAGTTGGTCAGTACTCTCAGGGAGTGGAGGGCTTGAATGCACTTGAAGAAAGTTGAAATTCAGAAAGTATGATAAGCAAAAGAATTTGTTCTTATTTCATTAATATGCATGTGTTGGATGGGATACTCAGGCACTCAAAGAACATTTATGTGAAACCATGGGTATGAGGTTGCCTAACTGGACTTGGGCCAAAGAAACAGAGGCTTCTGATGTGACTGTAGCACAAATTGCCAGCCACCACCCAGTATGGGATGCTCACGTAGCTGCAGTCCACCGCTAACCATGTCCAAGGAGAATTCACCCACAGGTTGTGCTGGGTCCCTGTTCTTGCACCAGTTGTTGAGGTAGAGCCTTTCCTAAGAAATTATTATAAAAGTGGTGGGTTGACTCCTCTCTAAAAGAGAAAGCCAAGGATTTGCCTCTTTGGAGCACACCCCGCCAAGGAGGAGGACTTGGAATCTCTGTCCTGCGGTACTTCACACGGACAGTTCTGCATCTCTACTGAACCCCAGAGCCATTTGTCCACCGCTGTAAGCATTTCCTAAAGGCAAACCAGATGTGCTGGTACCATTTCCTTGAAGGAAAATGAAAGAAACCAAATACCCAGCAGCATGCCGTGTGCAGAAACGATCTGCTTTAACTCAAGGTTAATTGAAAGAAGTAGGGGATGCATACGGTAGATGAACACAAATGATTCTAGCATTAAAGAACTTAGACAGAGGGTAGAGTTTAAGCTAAGAAAAGGGAGGGGGAAGGAAGTGTTCTCAATTCTTTTTTCTTTTCTTCTTCCTAGCAAGAACCAGTTGAGTCATCTTTGGGGCTTAGTAATGGAGTAAGTGATCTTTCTCCTGAGTTCGCGGTCCTGACTTCAGCTATAAAAAATGAAGTGGATAGTACGGTGAACATCATAGGTAAACCGTTTTGACATCTTATTTTTTATACGCACAAGCAGCCCTCTGAGGTCTAAAATTTGTAAACCAGTGATCTTGAAATAACATCATCAGTAGGAGGAGGTCTTGGAACCATCTCAAAATCCAACTTCCATTCCCCAGATTTCAGGGCTGAAAAGCAAAGGCCTTTAAGGATGAAATAAAGGAACCCAGATGGGTCTGCCCCAGAAAAGAAGGCCCTGAGCAACTTCTAGGAAAATGCTTCTTCTCCCGTGGCTGATGGTGACTGGTTCTTACTCTTTCACTATTTAGTCACATGGATGAGACTGATTTTTTTTTTTTTTTTAATTTGGGAAACAAGGAGGGGGAACATGGCCCTTGCACCTTCTCTCAGCAGCTGCTCCTTGGCTCGCTTGCCTCCAAGGTGGTGCTCATTTTACAGGTGAAGAAACTGAGGCACAGAGACCTGTTGTCAAAGATGCACAGTGTGATTTTGTAGGTACTTCGGAGCACACACCAGACTCAGTACTCTGAGCAGGAAGTGGATGGGGGAACAAGGCAGGCCCAATTCCTGTTTTCATGGAGGGACATAAATAGTAAGCAAATAAACCCACAGGTAGCTACTGCATTCCCATTTGTAGTATATACCTCATAGGAAGAGAACAAAGAGATGGGAGAGGATAGCCTTGAGTCAGATTTAGATTTGGAGGTCCCAGGAGTGATGTTTCCCTGCAGACTGGTGTGAAGAACAGCATGGGACATGGGGCAGGCACGATGTCCTCAGAGTCTGGGGGAACAGAAAGAAGCAAGTGTGACATAGTGTAGGGAGCATAGTGAGGTCCCCTCAGAGGGGGGGCGGGAGGTGTCAAGGGGGCCTTTGCATGCTTCAGGGAAGGAGTTGGGGTTTATCCCAAATTTGCTGGAGAATGTTTTCTAAAACTTCTTCTTTTTTTTTTTTTTTTTCTTTTTTAATTTGAAGTATGACCCAGATCGTGAAGTGCCCAGGTGTTTTACATACTCACATAGTGGAAACACCCTCCCTTGGAACTCATCTTAGCAGTGTCCGGGATGCTATGGTGAATGGGTGGTGGGGACCTCATGCAAGAGTAGAGGCCAGCAGTCAATGTGACTTTTTCCTAGAATTCGGAGCTGGGGCTTTGTGGCCCTCCGGTACCTTTTGGTCCGTTTAACTTTGTTCCAACAGGGCTCCTGATGTTTAATAAGAACCAGAGAGATCAAACACAGCTTTAAAAGCCAACTTCTTGCCTGGGCACCTTCATTTCTAGATCCTCAGTTTGACAGTGACAGGAGGCCACACAGGGTATAAATAACATCTCCTTGTTCCCCTAGGTTTTGGGGTTTGGGGAGTAGACTTGCATATGCAGAGACTGCCTTAAGCATTGAGGTCTCTGACAGATGCAGTGTGAGGCAAACAAAAAGCCTGGCCTAACGTGGGTGATGGCCAGAGTCTCATTTGGGTCTTCTTCCTGCCCAGAAGAATGTAAGTCACCCTAAAACTTAAAGTCTCAAATGACTAGTGAATATTTAGAAACAGATATTTAGAAATATATTTACAAGCGTGAAGCCCCTGATAGATCTAGTCTACATGTGTGGGCCCTGGAACTAGACAGCAAAAAGATGGCTCTGGTGGTTTATTTAAGGGGCTACGTCAAAGGCAGGGGGTACATCACGGGCGGAGTCTTGCTTCATGATGTCTTACCGTCAGCAGGTTGATTGACATGTTGTCAGGTCAAACTCATCTCAGGTGCTGTGTGGGACATGGCAGAGCTTGAGGGGGAAGTTCACCTGCATCAGACTATCAATCCCTGTGGGGGTCCAACGGGATGTTCCCAGCGTCAGACTTATCCCCTCGCTAGGCTACCATGTGCAACATAGTCCACACACAGCTCATGACACTGGCCTTTGCCCCAGCACCCAGACTTGACACTGGGATGGAGGCAGTAAGTCCCACGGTAGGGTTTGAGCCCAGAGGGATCCTGGAGGCTAAACATATTTCTCACTTCCCAGGGAGGAAGCTCAGGCCCCGTGAGTAAAGCCACTTGCCCACCAGAAGCCCAACTTTCCTCCCTGCTGGACCCCTTCATTTGATGACCCACTCTTTACCTCCCTCTGCCCCTGTGACTGCGTCTCCGCACCCCCGGTTCTGCACTGCTTGCCTTTCTCAGCAAGATTCCCTGAAAGGTGCATGCTGCCCCTTGAGCCCTTTAGAAACAGGAAGATGTTTGCCCAACTCCAGGCCCATTTTCTTAATATTCAGTTATTTTGAGTGAAATGGTTGGTGTTTGGGGAAGTTTCCTTTATTTATGAGGTGAGGTCAGCCTCAGATGATATGCCAAAACAAAGCCAGAGTTGTATCAGGGTTTTCTTTACTTTTTAAAAACATTACTATTACATTTATTTTTAGTTGACAGATAATACTTGCATGTATTTATGGGATACAGGATAATGTTTTGATTTATACATGTATTGTAGAAAGATTCATTAAAGCTAATTAACACATCGATTACTTCAACCACTTATTCTCTCTCTCTCTTTTTTTTTTTTTTGAGGTTTAAAAATGTTTTCAAAAATCTATTCTTTTAGACATTTTGAAATATACAGAACATTATTATTATTTTTTATTTCTTTTTAGATATGCATGACAGCAGAGTGTATTTGGACATATTATACACACATGGAGTATAACTTATTTTAATTAGGATTCCATTCTTGTGGTTGTACAGAACATTATTATTAACTGTGGTCACTATGCAGTACATTTGGACACTAAAGCTTATTCCTCCAGTGCACATGGGACCCTGTATTCTGAGATCAAACATCTTCCCTTTCCTTTTCCTCCCCACCCTAGCCTCCATTCTCCTGTAACCACCTGTCTTCTCTCTGTTCCTATGCGATTGACTTTTTTAGATTCCACGTATAAGTGAAATTACCCAGTATTTGTCTGGCTTATTTCTCTTGGCATTAATGTCCTCCAGATCCACTTTTTAAAAATCATTTTGGTTGAGTGTTCAGGGTGTAAGTTCTCTGTGGGTTGTTTTCGCCCTCTTGTGTGATTGGTGAGGCCTGGGGCTGTTGTGAGGGGAAAGGGGCTGTACTGTCTCCTGGTACCAAGATAGTGGCCAGTTCTGGTTAGAGACTCACCTACTGGATTAAGTGACTTCCTGGTGTTAATGACAAGTTCATAATAATGAGCAGCAAAATGAGTTTGAGGATATTTTTCTCATTAATTGATGGCCCTTAGGAAGGTATGTAATTATATGTAAGTTGATTCATGAAGTATTTAAAGAGAAGGGTAATTTGCAATCGTTGCTCACTGTGGTACCATCTCAGACAATGAGCACCTAACAGTGCTCTTTCCCCACAGCCTCCCATGTGATTATTAATGAGCCATCTTTGGCATCGTGATTTGTTGTGAGAGAGGAGGAACATGGGGATTTGCATCCCAAGGCCACTCTGGCATCTGAGATATTGTTGCTCTGTCTCTCTTTACCTTGCAAAATGCTCTATTTAAAAATGACAGTTTCTTGCTTTCAGGTCCTGGGTTTCTGAACCCAGACATCATTTCAGTTTTCTGTTCAGGCCCCTAGGTGAAAGCTATTCATCCTACTTTATTGAACTACATTTATAAGATTAAAATCAGAAGCTGAAATGAGTACTTAATATGATAGTATGTACGTTGTCTCAGAGCTCTTTAGGAAAATGGATTGAAAATCAATAACTGAATCCAGTGGAAGACCAGCCACTAGTACATTCTTCTTTTCTTTTTTTAAATACATATTTTTTTAGTTGTTGATGAACCTTTATTTTATTCATTTATTTATATGTGGTGCTGAGGATCAAACCCAGTGTCTCACACATATTAGGTAAGCGCTCTACCACTGAGCCACAACCCCAGCCTGACTAGTACATTCTTATTCTGGACAGACTTGGCTGTTTTCCTTTCTATGTGAATAACTGTGTAAAATGTGAAAGGTACTGTTGCCCTGACAAACGAACTCTTGCTTCATTGCTGCAATGTTTTGCTTTTATTCTTGCCACAATGCACCGCAGAAACACACACCCAGGAACTGTCAGAGGGCTGTATCCTGGTCTTGCCACTCTCTCCATAACAGCTGGATGTATTTTCAGAATTATCCAGCTGTGCATACCAGAGAGGAGTGTGATGTCTCCATACTGAAACTAGTCTCCAAAGGTCCCTCCACTACTGTCTTATTAAGTGCCCACGCTTAGCACCCAAAAGACCTATCCCCGATTTCCCTTTAAGAGGAGGGAAGAAAGAAAACTCCTTATTTTTTATTTTTAAATTTCTTTAGCATTGAATTTTGTTGTGTTGACTTCTGGTTTAGGAAATGGAAGAAGCCAGCAACATGTGGAATTGTTCTGACAGTGCGTACTGGCCTCTTGCCAAGGTTAGCAGTGCTTTTGCTGAGCTGTATGGAAATGCTCTCCAGGCCAGCCTAAGAAGTTTGCAGGTGCAGAGGACATTCCGTCTGACTTGCCTGGGCAGTACTTTACAGTCCCATTGTGTTGCTTGATAAAAGGTGACCCCACCCTTCCATAAAGCAAAGATCACTGGAAACAAAAGATGCTATTCATCACTCTGAAGTTCATAAAGCAAAACCAGAGTAACTAGACATAACAGCAATTAGGAAGTAATGTATTTTGAATTTTGTCTTAATTTTGGATGCTCAGAGTGCAGCTTTGAGTGCACACTCCTGGCAGTTGCTTTCAATTTGACTAACTTTATCTAAAGCAAAGTCTAAGTAGCTTTTTTAGCCCGACCTAGAAACCCAGCTGTCAATAGAGGGGGGCAGAAGGAGGGGAGAACAGATTCACAATGTCGAGACCCACTTTGGTGTCCCCTATGAAGGCCTCCCAGTTAGAACTCCAGGGTGGCAGCCTCTGGCACCAGAATTATGTGATTTTGAGGATGACCAAAGGTGATAATGAGACCCAGCGTCAAGGTGTGATTCCATTTTTTCCATTTCTATTGTCTCCTG